TCTACACTTTTCTTCATCTGTGGCGGTTGATATTCTGGTGCGTTGGTCCTATGGGCCTTAGCACGACGGCTCTCTGACTGTCTACTCAACGAGGTTTGTCCGGCTTCGATGAAGAAAGGGCGATGATGGGGCTCTCTTTCGGCTCGCTTCAGTGCTTATAATAATAGGTAGATGATCTATGGATCTAGATGTATTTTTTACTTTTAATGTCTTATATTACCTTAACAATTCATGATACATTGAAAGTTTTTCCGGCAAAAGAATGGCCAATCATGATATATACCGCCAGAACCAAAAGAAAAATGAATAGTCCACTAGGCAAGTAGCTACAAGTAATTTCGTCAGTTCCAAAATAATCACCTTGGGTTTTTTTTGCGGGAAAATAATCACGTTGGGTTAACTTAACGGATTGCACACACGTCCACGACATCCAAAAATTAAGTGTACTACCTCCATCTTCAAATACATGGCATATAAACTGAGTCATAAAGTCGGTACTTTCTATGTTTGACCAAATATATAGATGAAACCGTTAACAACTGTAATATCAACTAAATACATTTTTTAATATATCTAGTGATAGATATGTGGATATTGATGTGGTATTGTTTATCTTAATATTTTTGTATATATGCTTGATCAAACTTTTGAAAGCACTTACTTTTAGATTCACTTTATATGCCATATATTTAGGGACGAAGGGAGTATTTGTTAGGGCATGTGTAACGGTACAAATAGCATATTCCTTTTTGCCGGGGCAACAAAGAATTGCCCGCTACACGAGTTTGCGATTTCCAATGGATTTTCCCCCTTTTTTCCTTTTCATCTTTGATTTCTTATATCACTCTTTTGTTGATTTAGTTTTTGGTTTTTACTTGTTTATCAGGCTTGAACTTTTTTAACAACATGTGAACATATACTTGTACGAGTATGAAGAATTTTTAAAATCTATAATTTTTGTATACATGAACTTTTTGCAATACATGATAGAAAATTTATTTCGTATGTGCAAAAAACATTTATAGTACATGAACACAAATTTATGGGAGTAAGTTATTTAAGAAACTATGGAGTGTTTTTTAAAGGCATAATTTTTTGTTATGTGAATATTGGTTTTTATGTACATGAACATATTTTAATACACGATGAACAGTTTATATAATATATGCAATTTAAAATCTCGCATGGGAAGATTTTTCATTTTCTATAATTTTTTAACCTTTTTGCTGATTTATAACATTTTAAAATCTTATCAAGTGAAATACATTTTAGAATAAAAAGAAAAAACACAGATTCTAACGGGCCATGCCATGGGCCTATAAGGGTGATGTGGGATTTTTGTCCACCTATTTAATGTGAGGGCGTTATCTTCTTTTTGACCAAAATCACTGGTTAGAGGATACTCCTTGCAAAGGTCACTCTCACACCTCTTGCAGTGACAAGGCGTGCACTGCATGTGCGACGCATGTGGCAATTTGAGAGTTTTGTGATTTTCTGTAGATTCAATTTTTCAAAACATTTAATCTCTTGAACCGTGCGTCAAAATCACGAACCACTTTCCCAGCTGTGTTTCTAGCATAGATCTTACAAACTAGATTCTATATCAATAGGTTCTAAGAGAGAAGCCCACTGTCTCAACACATGGAAATATATGCTCAAACATGACCTTTCTCTTCTCGAGCATAGAATCAAGCGCAAGTTTTTGGAGATCTCGAAGGACTGGGGATGCACATCTTTGATGTTTGTACTAACAGAATTTTTCTAACAATGATTATGATACCCAAAACAGGCATTAGATAAGCCTCCTTCTACTCTTCTATTTACTTTCCTCACTTGTACATGCATATTAATGAAATTTACTTGGGTTAAAAAATAAGGTTTGGACTAATGTTTTAAAAAAATAGAAAGAAAAATAAAATGAAACAAAAAATGTAAACAGGAAACTGAAAAAAATGAAAGCAAAAAAGACCAAAAACATGAAAAAAAACCCGGAAGCATTTGTGCTTTTTCACTTTTTTGGGGAAGCACAGTGTGCTTTTTCTCTTTCCAAAAAGCATAGTTGTGCTTCAGCATGAAGCTCACATGTACTTTCCCCTTTCTGGGAAGAACAGATGTGCTTCGCGCGGAAGAGCAAATGTGCTTCATAGTGTAGTATACATGTGCTCTTCTCTTTCTAGGAAGCATAACTGTGCTTTTCACTTTTTGTGAAGTACATATATGCTTCAAGCCGAAGCACAACTCTAATTTTCACTTTTGAAAAGTTGTGCTTCCCCTTAAGCATAGTTATGCTACACCGTGAAGCACACCTATGTTTTTTTTTGGCACGATATGCTTCACATGAGAAAAACAAACCATCTTAGAAAACCTAGAACAAACCGAGCAAAATCCAAAAACCCGTAAAAACTCCAAGACGTGTACAGAAAAGAATAAAACGCGTTCACGCAGGGTGCGGCCAGCGCACAACACGTGGCGGCGCTGTGACACACCATGTGGTGATGTGGGGTTCACCATGTGGTGTCCGGCGTGCCCCCTCGTGCCTTCGCCGCGTAAGCCCCCCAACGGGGTACCTGCTCATTAGTTGCCCCCCTTTTGAGTGGTGCTCTGGTGGGCTTTCTAAGAGGGCACTCCCGTGCATAAGTAGGAAGAACTTCGTTTTTGTCACCCCAGATGGGCCTAGCCAAGCCAGACGGCGCACGTCTTTTTTGTTTTCATATTTCTCATTTTGCCTTTTCCTGTCAATTTAATTTTTAATTTCGCAATAACATGAATACTTTTGTTTAATTTGAGAAAATTTTTGCAAACTCGAATATGTGAATAATTTTTTAAATAAGGTGAACATTTTTAAAAAATGAACAAATTTTCAAATCTGGTGGACATTTTACAAAATACACACTGAACAAATGTTTATATACGACAAATTTTTTATTTATATAAAATGAATTTTGTAAATATGCGCTGATCAATTTCAATATCACATTGAACATTTTTTAAAATAGGGTCAACATTTTTTTAAAACACATTGAACAATTATTTAATACATGATGAAAATTTTATTTGAATACAATCAACTTTTTTACAATATATGGTGAACAATTTTCAATTACGCACTAAACATTTTTCAAGTATGGTGATTTTGTTTCGAAATTACACACTAAACAATTATTTAACACGCATATGATGAACATGTTATTTATACACAATGATTTGTTTTAATATATGGTAAAAAAATCAATTGCACACTGAATATTTTTGAAAATACGGCGAACATTTTTGCCAAATACACACTATCAAGTTATTTAATATGCAGTGAACATTTTATCTATATACAATGAACTGTTTTAAATATATGGTGAACTAATTTTCCCAAATCATGAACAAATTTTGACATTCCAAACAGTTTTTGTAAAAATTGAAAACTTCTTGAAATTTGTGAACATTTCCTGAAATTGTAATTTTTTTTTGAAATTCCAAATATTTTCTGAAAATTTACAAAAAATTTAAAAACGCGAACACTTTTTTAAAACATGAACAATTTTTGAAAGTATGATTTTTTGAGGAAAAAAAAGAAGAAGAAGATAGGAAAAAAGTTAAAAATGAAACCTAAAAGAAAGAATGCAGTAAAAAACAACAGGATAAAAGAAGAATTAAAACAGCCCGGATGCTTACCAAAGCCGGCAGGAAAGCTTCGGCAACATATCAGTTTTTTTTTTTTGAGGTAGCGACAACATATCAGTTGCGGTGGAGATTTTGAGTGAGCGGAAGCGGAAGAAATGGGCTGCTCCAAACAGACCCGTAGTGACAGACTCGTCTCAGATGGGCTCGCATAGGTATAACAATTCGGTCCACACGGCTCGACTAACAACATCTTGCTGAACTGAACTGGACTAAAGCAGAGCACATCGTATTCAGTTGCAGTTTCAGAACCTTCAACTAACCTGAATTACTAGCTTCCTAACAAACAATAATCCAGAGACCAACTTCATTTGGTTTCCTTCAGTGACCCTCTGAATATCTACGACACTATGTGCTCACAAACTGTATACAGCTGCTTGGCCTATCAAGTTCCATTTCAGAACAGTAAAAGCCACCATATATATATATACTATTCTCTTCCCCATTTGCTCATCAAATGAGTCTGTACAACCAGGGGCTCATCTATGATTACAAGATTAACAAAAATCACATCTTCAGTAATAAAGCAAGAGACTAGGGGCTCATATAGAACAAATCTACAGTACTCTGTTTTCGCAAGGATGGCCTTGCAACTTGCAAGGGTTGGATAAATTTAATGCATGGCCTTCGCATCCTTAAAAAAAAAGGGCAGCCCCAGTGCATGTAGCTCCCGCTTGCGCAGGGTCTGGGGAAGGGTCCGACCACTTTGGGTCTATTGTACGCAGCCTTTCCCTACATTTCTGTAAGAGGCTGTTTCCAGGACTTGAACCCGTGACCTTGCAAAAAATAATAAAATTCAGTATCATTTTCTCGATCACGCTTTCATACTGTATCGTTGTTTCCATGGACGCGCACACTTGATATGTATGAGCGAGCTCCTGGCTACAGGAAGAGGGGGAGGCTGCCGGCCATTCACCTGCATGTGTTTGATTAAAACAGTTATAAATCCCCCTTCATAGGAAGTTTAGTTTCATGCCTAATTGCAAGCTGAATATGTGTTCTGAATTATAACACATATAGTGACAGTTACCAAATCTCCTTTTCAGTTTTGAAAAAGAAACTCCTTTTCAGTTGAAAAGCTTGTCATGACATCTATAACATTTTGTAGCTTAACAACAGATCCAGATCACAATTCAATTTAATTTAACAAAAAAGAAGTACCACTATTCACGGCAACTGTAGCAGTGCCCCTATGAAATACTCAAGGGTATGTAAGTAAGGCTAGTAGAGAAGTACTAGTAGCAGCAGAAGACATACATTTCCTTCTATCACACATAACCTTGGATGATGTTGTCTTGCCTCCTTCCTTCCTCTCCTTATGGTACGTCCTATTTTTCATTTGAGTAATCCTGCAATTTAAGCGAAACAAAGCAATGTGCAGTATGTTCGATTAGGTTCTACTCCAAAAGGAGATTAAAACATATATACTAACTACTATGTTCGGAAAGAGCAACAGGATTATCACCTGCACAACATTTGTATCGATCTTGTGGGGCTCTCTTGTGTACAGTAGGTGCCATTTTTTTTCATTGCCCCCATCCTTTGCATAAGCCTCAACATGCTGGATATGGCTGAACTTGTACCACTCCGAGCCAGATTTTCCCAAAGCCATGGAGGTGAGTACCTTTCGGCTGCAGTTCAACAAAAAATGACTTGGCTTCACAGCCCGTAGGTATAACGGGAGTTGTTTCTCACTGTGCCACAGATTCAGCACAAGTCTTCTGAGTGCAGGCACCTGCTCAAGTAACTCGACCTTTGGGCAGAAGCTGATCTCAAGATTCTGCAATTTGGGAAGATTAGAGATCCTAGTCATCTCCGGCATGCGAGACAGGCTGAGCTCAGTGACGGAACCAAAGTTTTCAACAGAGTCAAGGCGCTTGATGTTGCTCATATATACTTTTTTCAAAGCCCTTGCATGGGATGCGAGGCCGGGGGGGATACGCCTCAAATTGCATCTTACGATACTAAGCTCATCCAAGAGGAGCATAGTTTGCACTTGCTCCTCCCATTCCCAGTCCTCCCATTGCACCAATGCATTTAGCTTCATCTGATGCAGTCTTGGAAAAGAAGTTGTCACCTGGGATGAAGGATGATGACGGTGATCCGGGGACTGCACAAATTCAGGCCCAACACGCTTGATAGCTGGCGCTCGGTCGACTGCTAGGAGCTCGAGACATGGGAGCAGACACAAGCCATCAGGGAGTTGGGTGCAACAAACAAGTTCATGCATTGTTAGAAACCTCAAGCTCTTGAGGGGCGATGTTGCTGTCGACATCATCCATCTTGGGAGCTGGCGACCAAAATATCCTTGGATGTTAATATTTTCGATGCAAGACGGAGGATGGAGTTCATCAAACACCTCCTCAATTATTCCTTGTTCCTTCTCAGAGGGTACTCTTCTATTGTTGTCAAGTGTATTGGTGCAGTGTAATTTCATTAACGTAAGATGCACCTTTGCAACAAGCATGGCCTTCAAGGCAGACGAGGTAACGGCTACATTCTCCAAACCCTTTAATCCAAGATGAATGAGGTGAGAAAGAGGTCCCAACTCTTCCAAACTACACCAATCACCATCCACGTAGGCTGGGAACCCATATAGTTCCCTCAGATTTATCAAGGCACAGAAACCCCTAGGCATATTATTTACACATGTGTCATCAAGGTCAAGAAATCGCAGTTCCTCTAACTTGACAATGCTGTCAGGAAGTTTCACCAGACTCCTACAACCTTCAAGACCAAGGTGTTGTAGGAATTTTACCTTGTGAATGTCCTCTGGCAGGCTGTTTATATCATTGCAGTGTTGTAGTGTTAGATACCTCAGGTGTTTGAGCTGATATAGAGATTCAGTCAATGCAGCAAAATTTGCAGACTCAATATGTAGAGTTCGGAGACTTGAAAAGCTCATCAGCGAATCACCAGACTGAATCTTGAAATTCCCAATTATTATTATCGATCTTAGCGATTTTTGCTCTTGTAAACATCTCCACTCAAATTCATCAGACTGCCCGCCTTTGGTTTCTACAGATAACCTAAGAAACTTTGGTAGACTAAGTTTGCTATTAAGAATTTCTCCACTATGACCTATTAGTGCTTCATCTCTAGTCAAAAATTGAGCAAATGATCGAACAACATCATGCATGTGGCAAATAGTTTGATTGGAATATAACGGATCCGGCTCTATTAGGTTCCTCAATATTAGCTCCTTATGGTACTCATTTCCTAATTCTTCCAATTTATCAGAGTCCCCATGAACAAATCCTTCACCAATCCACATTCCCACAAACTGTGCGTGGGTAAAACCTATTCTTTTAGGCTTAAGGGAGAAATGCAGAAAGCATTGTTTTAAACATGGAGACAAGTCCTCGTAGCTAACATATATTGCATTGTTTAGCTCTTCTGGCATACGGCTCACTGACCATGTAGAATCATGCAAAACCTTTTCCCAATCACGTCGCTCTTTGTCCTTCTGGCATAGGAGTCCTCCCATCACTTTTATGGCAAGCGGTAACCCATCACATTTTTCTACGATTTGCAACCCAATATCCTTAAGCATATCAACTGCAGGTTCAGTTTTCTCTGTTGTGAGTACCTGCAAGCAGTTTAAGCATGTAGAGTTAAATAAGAAACACACACACAAACACACTGGAGTGGCTACTGAAAAGTTAAGTTACCAAACAAAAACATAGAACTATCTGTTGATTAATAATTGAGTGGATGCTCCAGTCACGGGGATATCTGAGATGTGCCCTTTTCTCTGCTTGTCTTACAGTTATGAAACATCAAAATGATAATCTAACAGAACTAGTTACTCTCAACAAACTAATCGAATCCTAGCAGCATCATTCATCAAACAACAATGAACATATAATACATAGAGACACAATAAACGGCAGGTGCACTTAAGGTACTGAAGCACAAAGACTGCTGGGGAATATGGCTATGACCTGTGCTAATAAATGAATATACTATATTGATAATTTACTTAAGATAGAGCAGAGGTTGCTAGTAGCCATACACTCACCTGCTTCTTGAGCAATGACCAAGCATCTTCAGGCTCTAATTTGTCAACATGGTGGTAAGGATGCACAGCTTTCATGCCTCGAGCAATGGCTTCATGTCTTGATGTGATGAGGACTCGGCTACCAGGGGCGCTGTGGCTAAAGGCAGCCTTCAGCAAGTTGGTCCATTCATTGGTGCCCCACATGTCATCCAACACAAGAAATATCTTCTTGTCTCTGATAGCGCTCGCAAGAGCCGGCACAAGCAAAGCTTTGTCTTGAGACCCACCACCTGGCCCTGGCAAGTTTCCATTGGCAGAAGTGATGGCCGTCTGCAACAACTCAACCTCGCTGAACTCTTGTGTGACACTCAACCATATCTTTGTGGTGAACTTGTCTTGAATGGCCTCATCATTAAAGACCTTCTTGCTGAGGGTAGTCTTACCAATTCCACCGACACCAACAATGGCAAACACCATGATGCTATCACTCTTGTCCCCTGACTCCATCATGAGCATATGGACAAGTGCCCTTGTATCATCTTCAATCTTCTCCCCGACCACACTCGATCGCTCCAGCAGTGGATTTGTCTTGCGGCTGACAGGAGGAGGGTTGGTTATCTTTTTGTTTTGGTAGGCTTCCAGCTTGATAAAATTGAAACTACCTCCCCTCTTAGAGATTTCATCTAGCTTTCGGTTCAGCACCTTGATGCGGCTCCCGATTTCGTGGGCATGGAGGGGGTTTCGCATGTAGAAGAGGAGTGGGTTAAAGCACCCCATGTCCTTGGATGGACCTTGCTCCATGACTTTGAGCTGGCACAGGTCGAGGATGTCAGTGGCGTGGTACATGGCGCGCTTCAGTTCCTCCACCCACTCCCGCACACTCTCGTCTGTGATGTTCCTCTTATCGGCATCTGCAAGGACATTTTTTAGGTCCCTGAGCTTGACGCTTAGGTCATCAATCCCGCTAGAGACCCCAATCAGCATGGCCACTTCTTCTATTGCCATCTCAGTGAGCATGTTGCTGACATAAGATGCCAAAGCATCCAAAACTCCTGCCATCGGCAGGAAGGATTTTGTTTTTGCTGCCAGAACGAAACAGATAAAGAAAATTACTCTTTCATTATCATAATGATCACCATACAATCCCATGAATGCTTGAAACTGAACGACATGTCATTATCTCATTTAATAATTAGAGAAAAAGGATAATAAATTCGTTCACCAATAATGTATCTGAAATGTAGTCTGATTGCAGTTATTTTCTGAATCCCTGGCAATTCAAACATGCACGCCATATACAAAGCAAAGGGTTCCCCATTTCCGAGAAAAGAACACAAAGATATTTTTTAACGACAAAGAGCTACAATTACACTGCAAGCACACCATTACTAGAAGAGAAAAATAAAGAGTAGAAAGCCCATAAATTTTCTGCATGGTAATATGGTATATACTACTCCCTCTGTCCTATAATATACGATGTTACTAATGCACTCATATATTGGTTGTAATAGCATCTTATATTATGAGATGAAATGGAGGGAGTAGGAGCTAGTGATCTCGGCACACGGAACAAACTACAAAAAGTTAGCGAACTTAACTTCAATCAACAGAACAGATCAGAGATGGATGGGTAAAGTTTCCTCCGGTCTGCTCTTAGTGTAACTTGTGTGGAAGCGCCAGAGGGTGGAGGGCAAATTTGACAAATTTGACCTGTGGACGAAATCAAATCACAGAATGAACTACCCGTGAAACTATTTCACGCGGCTAACCTTTTTATGTGACGCCCGACACGAAGGCGCCACACTACATTGTGCAACGCCTCATAGATAGGCGCTACACGTCTGGCCAGCGTTGCACCCCAGACTGTCTAAAAATTGCTAAGTCATTGTGCAGAGCCTACGAGCTAGGCGCTGCACTGTATAGTGTGGCGCCTAGCTCTCAGGCGCTGCACTAGTGGTTGCACTACAAAATGAAGCAACCGCTAGTGCAACGCCTAGAAGCTAGGCGCTACATTGTATAGTGCGGCGCCTAGCTCTCAGGCGCTGCACACTGACTTAGTAATTTTTGGATCACATGGGTGCGACGCTGGCCAGGCGTGTAGCGCCTGTCTGCGAGGCGTTGCACAGTGTAGTGTGGTGCCTTCGTGTCGGGCGTCACACAAAAAGGTCAGTCGTGTGAAATAGTTTCACGAGCAGTTCATTCTGTGATTTAATTTTGTTCATAGGTCAAATTTGTCAATTTTGCCAGGGTGGAGCTTAGACAGATGGAGAGAATTTGGAAGTTGTGTGTTGCTCAACACGAGCCTTCAAGCCAGCAAATCTAATTTACAAATTTAAAACATGACCAATCATTTATATGCAAGTCTTACAGGTCATGCTGCTAACTAATATGATTCGACGCAAGAAGGTGTTGAAATATCTAAAAATGTATCGGTGTTAAAAAGATTCGAAAAAGATGTCCGATTTGAATGGCCTTAGGTTGAAATTATTTTTCAGGAACACAAAATATCTCCAAATACAGCGTAGCCGCACGTACAATAAGCTTGCACATACTTACACACACTGCTTACCGACGCCTCGATGCCGCACGTGTTGAAAATGGCAACATTTTAACCCGATAAAAAGGAACGTTATAATCCTGGGATCCACTAAGAAACTACTTAATTCACAAAAGAGTAATAACAATACCGAAAAAGGCTTTCGCCCCACTTTATATATAAAGCATAGACCAACAGTGCCCGATACAACCGCACTCACCCACCACACATGTACACACACCCAATGCTGGATACATAGGCGCTGAGCGTAGCAACACACGCCCTAGCACTACAAGAGCCGTCGGGGGCTTCAGCCGTGAACACCGCGAAGAAGTGAAGCCGTATATGACGAACCGTGGGCTTCAAGGTGGCGCCTTCAAGAAGGATACGACACCGGAGCGCCGCCATCGCCCGTTCCAAGGATCAGAGTTTCCCCTGGAGCAACACGACGGGCAATGATAGCCGCAACGACGCCTTCAAGAAGGGAGCGATCTTCACCGTCGCCAGTCCGTCCGAAGATAGAGTAGGTTTTCACCCCGGCCAATACTCACCATCACCGAACGCCACACCCCGGCTACCACGCCACCAACACGGCCGTGGCAGCCGGGCAACACCGAGGCACGAGCTCTGCCCATAAGCACCGCGCCGCCAACACCAGGGCAGCCACCCCGGAGACCAAGACCTTGACACCAAGTCCCCCGAGCCCCACCGCTAACCCAACCACAGAAACGAGCGGAAAGGATCCGCCTTTCGCACCCCTGGCCGGTCCCATCGTCGAGACCAAATAGGCCGGCCACCAAGCCTCCATCGAGCCGTCCTGCTACACCGGGCGCGAGACGAGCGCAGTCCTGCCGCCGGGCACGGGACGGGCCGGTCCTGCTGCCAGGCGGGAGACGAGCGCAGTCCTGCTGCCGGGCGCGAGACGAGCGCAGTCCTGCTACCGGGCGCAAGATGGGCCGGTCCTGCTACCGGGCGCGAGACCAGCTCCGTCCTACGACACCGGGTGCAAGACGGTCGATGGACCGCAACCGGGAGAAGGCCAGCTCTCCGGCGAGAGAAACGGACGGACGCCAAGGAGAGGAGTCAACGGCCGATACAGGCAACCTACAGACGAGCCAATGCCAGAACAATCTGGCCGCCGCCGCAGTCAACCTGCCACCACCACATTACCTGCGCCACCACGCCCTGGTCAGCACCACTCGACGCCCCACCACCCCGTACCGGAGCAGCGCGAACACCGGCCGCTACACCACCACCTTCATGGGGTCGCCGGCCACCCCCGCCATCGAAGATCCGCACATCCATCGGATCTGGGTCAGGATGCCCAGATCCGCCGCCAACACGACCGTGCCCACCTGATCCCACGGGCCGCTGGTGGGCAGGGGAGGAGGAGTCGCCGGGGGGGGCACAAGGGCGCCGGGCGGAGCGCCGGAGCAAGAGCCGGCCGGGACCCGACGCCGCGGGCAGGAGGGAGGCGGCCCGCGACGCCATCCATCCGCGCGCAGGAAGAAAACAGCCCCGCCGCCGCCTCGGCCACGCGGCCTTTGGCCGGCGGCGCCCTCGGCGGCGGCGAGGGAGGGGGAGACGGGGTGGAGGGCCTGAGGGGGGCGCGATGGTTGCCTCCCGACGGCGCTCGCGGGAGCGCCTCGGGAGGGAGAGCTGCCTCCACGGGGACCCTTGGTGAGGTCTCGGGGTAATAACAATTACAGTTAGCCTTCTACTCCCTCCGTTCCCAAATAATTGTCTTTCTAGCCATCTTAAATGAACTACAACATACGGATGTATGTAGACATGTTTTAGAGTGTAGATTCACTCATTTTACTCCGTATGTAGTCATTTGTTGAAATCTCTAAAAAGACAATTAGTTAGGAACAGAGGGAGTATATAAAGCTTTTGTATAGACACCAAGTCAGCAGATGCTTGTGTGTGTTGAAAGGTTCAGCAAGCAGATACAAACACAACAAGATCTCTGAAGGTGATAATTAATTTCCAAGAAGAAAACGCAACACCGATACTGAGGTCAAACCTATATATACCTGTGACATTCGTGAACGAACTTGTACACAGATAAATCAGAACATATACTATATTTTTCAAAAAATTGAGGGATCTGAACGTATATTGTTGACAGACAGTGGTATAAAAAGTTCCTTTTTTAATCAATTTTGATTTTTGAATACACATACAGTAAGGTATAAGAATAAAGTCAAAAGGTGCAGATCTAGAACTTGGCTTGCATCGCAAAGGATTCAGAATCCTGAAGGCGCCTCGCTGTGGCCGCGGGCGGCGCGCTGCGCGGATGCTGCATCGCGCCGCGGATATGCAACGTGAACCCTTGGACCAGTCCGGTGTTCCCGCCGCACCTACGCGGGCTGTGCCCGCCCAACGACGACCCGCCGCGGCGGGTAGCGCTGAAGCGAAACGGCGCGGGGTCGGACCGGAGGCTGTCCGACGAGGACGCGGGCAGAAGCACATCCGCGGCGGGCTGGTGCTGCGGGGGGCTCTGGGCCAAGCGAAGCGAGTAAAATTTTAGATTTGCGGAGGATATGTTGAGGAACACAGGGAACATATTTCAGGTTACTTAACAAGAAAAGAAAACTATGCCCGGAAATTTTAACTTAGTGCCACGAAGGTTTCTTGAAATGAAACCATATATGGTTTCCGCAAATAAAACAAAAAGAAACCAGAGAATTGCTCTCTTGTCAAAAAGGAAAATAAGTAGCCACAAAAAAGCTTCAAGATCAGACATCAGATATTTGGGGGAGAGAGTGGATGGAGATAGAGCGAGCTGAAATTACCTTGAATCTGTTGGAGAGATGAAGAGTGGGCAGATGGGTGGGTTGATCTTGTTGCCGGCTTGTTCTATGGCAGCTTGTGGAAATGGGAAAGGACGTTGATGTAGACGAATGTGAAATATATGCACGTTACCTTGCAAAAAGAAAGGAAAAAAAACGATATGCAAGTTGACCTAGTTAAACAGCCCGGGTAGGTGAGTGGGAAACTAAGTAATTCATGTCTTCCACTTGCACGGTCTTACCGTGTGATCATCGAGCGATTAGTTTTCTTTGAGGGGGGTTATGTACCTTCTTCTAAGTAGAGGTAAGGATATAAATCATCATTTCCCGCAGCAGAAAAGATATAAGTCGTCATATAACACAGTTTTCATTCAGAAGTTGCTCACCACACATATATGCCGTGTGGTCATCGAACGATTAATTGATGCCATCATGTTACATTTCAACTAGACTAATTGTCTTACTTTTTCTTAGTCGAGACTCGGTCACGATAAAAAAAGTTTGAAAACGGATGGACGACTGACTCTGATCTGGTTGGACCGAAGGCAGCATATATAATCATGGATCAACACGACCGATTAATCTGTAGGGCCATACGGAGTACGTTTATAAATCTGCCAAAGTGATTAATCTATCTGTTTGGGGATCTTTTTCTCACCGGATGACCCATTCCTTGAGATGCACGCAACATTGAGTTTATGTTCTACGATTGACTTTTACAAGCTTACCATATGACGAGCAGCTTAACGTAGCTCGCAAGCTGAACTTCAAAGTTGTATGGTGCACGAGCAATCGCCAATAAACTCTTTGTTGACAACTCTTTAATTTTTATGAAAACCAACACACAAAATGTTGAATGTTTGAAACCAATATTTGATCAATATACGGCAACTAGTTAGCGTGGACAAATCAATTATCTTCTTCAGCTCTAGCACCCGTGTCAATATGACGCCCCGGGTGTATTTCTACCCTTGGTAACGTAATAATGGCAGAAGCTATGCATGACAAATATGTGTTCATCCCGGCGACATTGGATTCGACAAATATTTGATGCACCATTTAATCCAGAGGTTAAATGGTTGAAAAGAAAGATATGTCTATCTTCAGCACGCAATGAAGTTCTCATAAAAGTCGGTAGCACAAGCAATACCAACCTATGCTATCTCGGTTTTAAGAACTCGTATAAAAATTTGCAAAGGTATATAAGATGTGATGTCACGTTTTTGTGGGGTGATGATGCACACCACAAAAGGATGGATTGATTCACTTGGTAGAAAATGTGTATTCTAAAGAAGAAATGAGGGTTTTTTGCGCGTGGTAATACGCGTCTTATTTATAAAATAAAGATTCAGTTACAAGACACCTAAGCACCGACTTTATAAGACTAAAAGGATAGTATAATCCTACAAAAAAAACCAGTGCATGTTCCTCTCCTTCGACACCACCGAAGCGGCCACCAAAGGAAAAGAAAATAGATCACCTCTTCACCCAAGCTCGACGCAGCTCCATCGCTGATCAGCAGCTTTAAGGACCTCGAAAGTAGTTTGACAGAAGCAAGACCATTGCCGTTGAAAGAATCAAACCGGGGAAACATGTCCCCGGACACTCCATCGAACTCTAGATCTGACACCCCCGCACGACAACGACGTCGAAGAAGGAAACCAGAACTGTCAGCCACCAACCACAAACCCAGCACGTGATGCACCATCTTCCAGCTGTCACTTGCGCAGACAATTGTCTGCGCGTACTCCTGGACGATAAAACCTCCCTGCTCCACCATGGCGTCAGAGACAACGCCACATCAACGGGGACAGAGCAGAAGAAGAGACACACCTGATGGAGTCGCCGCCGCCGCCTCGTCGACACCATCCATGAACCCTAACACCGTCGATCTGAAGGATCGGCAATCACACGATGCCATCAACTCCGAGACGCCGTCATGAAAGGCACCGCTGATGTGAGAGCGGAGCTGAGGCATATTTATTCGTACGGGCGCCGCTCCCACCACCCCAACGGCGCACCAAGGTCTACAAATCCAAAACCTAACTACAGAGCGGAGGAACGGGGTCCCCCCGCCCTCCTGCCGCCGGAGCAGCCGAAGGGAGAGGGGGCCAACGCCCAGGCCGGCTGAGATCGGAGGAAGAAAATCGCCTCCCTAGTCGCCTGACATGGCGGCGGCTAGGGTAGGGAAGAGACATGCCACGTAAAAAATGACCTGCCTCGAAGAAATGAGGTATTCCAATCAATTTGCACTTCATGCGCAGTACAACCTGTACGGCTGTACCCCTATGCATCCTGTACACGAGAAAAAAAACTAAAAAGAAAAAAAGGAAGCTAAAAAAATAACTGAGAAAAAAACAACTGTAACTTCTCCGAGCGTCGTGAATTCCTATTCAGCGCTTGTGGCATCACGTACTTTGTGTTTCGAACAATGGCGCCCAGCCGATCGTTGGAATTAAATGGGCCGGCCCATCTAGTGCGCCGTTTTCTTCCGATTTTGTGACACTTCCAGAAGCTTCTGGTTGTTTCTTTCTTGGTTTTGTGTTCTTTGGTGTTTTCATTCGATCTATTTTTCAGTTTCTTCTTTTTCTTTTCTTTCTATTTTTACTTTATTTATTTTTTCTCTTTCCTATTTCCTTTTTCTTTATTTTTCTTTTCTTTTTTTGAACTTTTAAAATTTCAAAAGTTTTTCCAATTCGTGAACTTCCTCAAATTCGTGTATATTTCTCAGTTTTTGTTAAGTTTTCTAAATCCATGATATTTTTTAAAACAAGTTTGAACCCTTTTGATTTTTTTAAAATTCATGAACTTTCATCAAATTCGTGTACTTTTTCAGTTTTTTGAAAAATGCCAATTTTTTTATTTTCCAAATTTTGTGACCTTTTTTCAAATATTTGAACCTTTTCCCAAATTCGTGAACAATTTTCTATTCCACGAACATTTTTATATTCATTAATATTTTGTCAAAAATCATCAGTCAAAATCATGAACTTTTTTCAAATTCACAAACATTATCCACATTCGATAGGCGAAGTGTTTCTCTACATAAACAACATTTATTTTCCATCTTCTACTTGTTCAAAACAATCATTCATATATTGATAAACACATGAACTTATAACATACTTTCTCCGTCCGAAATTACTTGTCGCTCAAACAGATGTATCTCGTACATCCGCTTGAGCGATAAATAATTTGGGATAGAGGGAGTACTTACAACGCGGACCCTCAAACCACCCGCAATCGTTCAAATCATGAGGTTCAGACATGTTTTGCCATCCAACGCGGGCCTGCATTGGTCCGTAGGTTGGTCCGCACGTGCTTTTTCCCGCAAACTGGGGCTTTGCACATATCTGGATCGCTGTCACGTCCAATCCTAAATATTCTGGCCCACCAAAAACCCCTCCCGTGCCCGCACACTTCCCCGCCCGAAGTCGGTCAACGTCACTCCAGAGCACAAATGCCGCATTCATGCAGGCACAGAGCAACCCGACCTCTCACCGCACTTCGGCATCAAAATGGCCCATCGGCTGGGAGTCGCCTCCCAATGCAAGTGACTGCCCCGCGTTCAAACTACAGCCCGTTTGTTTGCCTGCCTACATTAAACATGTGTGCGGTTACCAAGGAACAGCTAGCCGGCGCCACCCGTCCGTCCCTCTACAGCCCGCCATTAATCACGTCGTCTGTTGCCCTGCC